AACCATGATTCTGAAAGTTTGTTCCCTGGATTCTAAAGATTTTTATTTTGGTGAGTCTGAGGTGAGCCAGGAATCTGCATTCAGCAAACACTACAGGTGATTTTGAAGCAGGTGGCTGTTCCCTCCATTGTGAGAAATGCTGCAAGTTCTAGGCCAGAGAGGTGAGGACCACACATGAGCAAGAGTGAGGCAGTCAGGCTGCACTGTGCTCACAGGAGCTGGACTTCTTTGGATCCTCGTGGTGCATTATTTCAGGCTTTTGAATAACACTTTGTGTATTCTGCCTAGCTCTGGAGTTACTTGTGTACCCTCCTCCACTACAGACCAGGCTTCATGCTGCTCAGATCTTTCAGCTGAGCTCATCCAGTGTCCTCTCAGTATTGAGAGGACAGTAAGAGTAAAACTGCAATGGAAAGCGTGTGAGTGACATGGCCAGAGAGAGGTTTGATCTTGGCGCTCTGTTACCCAGATAAAAGCTGTCCAACCTGAGGGGGTCACTTCATTTCTCAGTCACGTGCAGCATGAGGAAGGGTTCGCTCCCCCTGCAGAGGGCTGCTGGGGGAACAGATAGGTGACGATAGAACAGACATTGACACCATGGAGACACTTGTTTCAAGTTTGTCAAATATGAACATGACTGTTTTTCTGCTTCTAACCTCATTTCCCCTATGAGCAAGTGCCAAGTTGTATGATGAAGGCACCCGAGGTTTACTTCTGCCTTTTACAGAAAGCAAATCCTATTACTTAGTGTTTAAAAGAGCCCTGCGACTTCCAACTCCAAGAAGAGTAAGAAATAAATTCAATAACACAAATGTATGATGAGAATGGTAGATGTACCCTATAAATAATGGACAGTACAAATGAAGGGAGACACACAGAAAAGAAAATTAACTTCACATTACAGTTTGACTCTGCCATGGGGACTTTCAGAAATCTGCACTGTTTAACCAAATGACACCTGAATTTTAGCAGCTCCTTTGAGATCACCTTGAAAGGTTGCAGGTTTCTGACAGATGAGCTGAAAACTTCAAGAGTATACTATCAGGGATTATAACCACCCTGTAAACTGTGGAGGGAAAGAAGTTAGATTACATACAACAAGCAGTGTGCAGCTAGGCATGATGGGACAGGCCTGTAATACCAGTGCCCAGGAGGTTTAGGCAGGAGGATCCAAAGTTCCAGCCCAGCCTGAGTTATTTGACCCAGTGAGCAAACCAAGGACAATGTTGAGAGTTTTCCATGAAGCTAGATTTATCCACTTGAGCCTGTGATTTTTTATTCTAAGATTAGTTCTTCCCTTGTCGTGGCTTATTAAAATGTCCTTGCTTTTGTGATTGTCAGTATTTTTGAATTTGAATCCTGGATCTAGTCAAGGCAAATGGCTTGAGGTAAATGCCTAATCCACTCGGGCCTTGATTTCTTTAAGTGTAAAGATGTAAATGTTAGCAATAAAATCTGCAATAATATCTGCAAAAATCCTAGCTCAAATTGTAGTATGAAGTAGATGATTGTAGATGGTTGTGTGGGGAATAAATACAATTTGTAAATGTTGTTATTTAAGTAAATAAATCAGGTAGAGGATTTTTGTTTTGCTTTGTTTTTGCTGGGGTTTAAAGACAGGGTCTTGTGCATGCTAGGCAATTGCTCTACCCCTTGAGCTATGCCCCTAGCCCTTTTGTTCTGTGTTTCAGATAGGATCTTGCTGCTATCTCTGCCCTGGCTGGCCTCAAATCTGAGATCTTCCCGCTTCTGCCTCCTGAGTAGCACGGTTATAAGATTGTACCACATGCCCACCAGGCAGAATGTTTCAATGGCATAAAATCATTGTGTTCTCATGACTGCATTAGATGTTTTAACCTTTTTCTCTGGTGGTCTCATTTGGGACTTACCCCCACTTTTGCTGTAAAAACAATTCTCTACAGAACAAGGACAAAAGGGAATTTCCCCTTCATGTGAGTGCTCAACCAGACAGCTCTGTGTCAATAGTGAGGAGCATTCCAGACCCAGGGGTAAACTGTCCGAAGGTGCTGTTGGACCTGCAATTTAATCTCATACTCTTGGTTCTTACAACATTCTGTTGTGTAACATATCTTTTTATTCCCAGTGCTTAATAAATCAGTTTCTCTACCAGCGTTTATTGATGATTTGAATGGATAAATGTATAACAGGTCCATAAAGCATTTGGGCTTTCCAAATTATCTGCTGCTAGTGTGTTTAGGAACTATCTATTTTAGATGGCATTTTGATGAGTGACCTTTAAGTTACTTAAGACAGGCAGACAACGGGAAAAGGGTGGGAAAAATGACTACGTCACATTTATGTTACATCCATGACGTATATTCCAGGAGTTCTGGCAGGCATCTTACTGGTCAAAATTTAAGCTAAATTGCCTGCCTTATTTAAGAAAAATAGATCACAAATAAAAAATTAGGAAAGTCCTGAATTCGTAGGGCTCCCCTCGCAAGTGGGAGTGCCAGCTTGAGCTTAATTAGCCTTTTGAAAATGTACCTCTGTAATCATGGAAGCCATTATTTCAAGACAAAGGAATTTGTGCTGTGCTGTTGATGGGTGGAACATTTCTTAACACAAGGAAAAGAAGCATGTATATGCTACATGGAGGTCCGGAGAGAGGCACTAAATGCTGTGTTCAAAGTGGAAGGAAACAAGGCTGTGTGGCTCAAGTGGCACTGTGACACGTGAAACCCAGAGTTCAATTCTCGGTACCACCAAAATATAATAATAATAATAATAATAATAACTGGTGACAATTACATGTCCAGGAAACTGGGAGTCCTTGAATTTATTTTTGAACTTAATCAAAACCAGACACCTATTAGTCATTGAAAACCTAAGTACTGTTCTCCCTCTCCCATTTTCTAGTAGGTTAAAAATTAAAAAAACAAAACAATGTAGCATGCAGGGGGTGGTACACATCTGTAACCCAGCACTCAGGAGGTTGCAGCAGGAAAATCACAAGTTTGAGGCCAGCCTAGGCTACATAGCAAGACCCCATCTCAAACAAACAAACAAGCAACATATCAATGTAAATTGATTAGTCCATTGAGACAACTGACTGGGTGAGTGCAGTCAGGCCCATGCATGGGGGAATGAGTGGGCGCTGGACTCCTGACTGCCACCCCCAGATCCTTCCACTGACACAGATGTGGTGGGAATGCCACTTTGTTTGCCAAGAAGCTGGCACACGGTAAATGCTCACTGAAAACTGCCGAGGGGATGAATGAACCAAGTAAGTGATTCCAGTTTGAGTAAATGAGGCCAGATTTGAAGTAAACTTTTTACTTCTGATTCTGTAATTAAATTGGCAGACTTTTTTTTGCACTGAGCATTCCTTTCTGAATATGGCTTAGGTTTGCTAGCTAAAGGATTAGCAAGTGAAATAGAACTTTCATTGAATGCTAAGCATATGCTACTTTCCTTGACGTCCGTATGTTTAAGCTTTGTAACCACTGGATGATAGAGACAAATCAGAGAGCTTAATTAAGCTACCTGTGGCCTCACAGGGGGAAGTGGCACAGCCAGGATTCAAAGCCAAGTTAGTGTGTGCAGAGCTCAGTCTGCCTCTGCAGCCTCTTCTTTGGCCTTTTCTTTTCAATAAACGTGAGACACGTGTAACAGTGATGGAGGCACAACAGATTATAAAGCTGGAAGTGTGGGGTAGTAAGAGGCTATACTGCCTGCCACTAGTGTGTCATCTGGGATATTAAGCTGCCCATCTGTGAGACAACAGGACTGGACTGGATGACCTCTGAGTGGGATGACCACATGGCCCCGGCTGCCTGCTGGCAAAGCCCCAGTGGGTATGTGCTGTGCTACAGCAAGCACTACTAGGACCCTTTCTGTTCTCTGAAGTGTCCCATTGTGGAGTGAGGTACTTTCTGGCTCTTAATTTGTGCAACTTCAAATCGAACCTAGTATTTCTTTTTTTTTTTCTTTGCAGTACTGGGGTTTGAACTCAGGGGCTATACCTTGAGTCACTCCATCAGCCCTTTGTGTGTGTGTGTGTGTGTGGTTTTTTTTTTGCAAGATAGAGTCTCACAAACTATTTGCCCAGAGCTGGCTTCAAAACACAATTCTCCTGATCTCTGCCTCCAGAGTAGCTAGGGTTATAGGCGCAAGCCACCAGCGCCTAGTAAACCTAGTATTTCTTTGGTGACTGAAGCAACATGAGTTCTTGTTTTCCAGGGAATCAACAATAGCTTGTATAGAGATTGCTCTGCATTTCTGATACTCTGATATTTTTTCTACTAGTGCTTCTTTTCTTTAAAAGTACACTGTAAGTCTCCTTCTAGCTGATTTGGTTCAGCCCTTTGTGTGTGTGTGTGTGGTTTTTTTTTGCAAGATAGAGTCTCACAAACTATTTGCCCAGAGCTGGCTTCAAAACACAATTCTCCTGATCTCTGCCTCCAGAGTAGCTAGGGTTATAGGCGCAAGCCACCAGCGCCTAGTAAACCTAGTATTTCTTTGGTGACTGAAGCAACATGAGTTCTTGTTTTCCAGGGAATCAACAATAGCTTGTATAGAGATTGCTCTGCATTTCTGATACTCTGATATTTTTTCTACTAGTGCTTCTTTTCTTTAAAAGTACACTGTAAGTCTCCTTCTAGCTGATTTGGTTCTAGTCAACTTGGGATTATTGCATTGCATAAGTATTTATTTCCTGCCACTTACTGATTCTTGCATGAAGTCACTGCTGAGTGCCTCATCTTGTCTAACAAACATATGGATGCTGTCTGACAGTTCCTGTAGAATCAAAACAGGTTTAGAGAAGTGACTTTGCAAGAAAGAGATGGTGCCAGGTCTTCCTGCGCTCTCAGTTACTGTGCTATGTTGAGATATGTGCATACATCATGCATGCCCATACACGCACGCACAAGGTAAGTTCTAAAAATGATTAGGTTTCCTAAATCTCCAGAAGCTTTCCTAAAGTTATCAGTGTTCATGCTAGTCTTTGTCATGTCATTTTCTATTGCTCCCATACTTATTTAATAGACAGACTAACGTGTAGATTCTCAGAAAAAATAGAAAGGGTTAGTGAGGAGGCTGCAATGAATGCTGTCTTACTTATGAGGACCTGTTTTTAGTTTCTCTTTCTTTACTACAGTATAAAACAGAAAACAGACACTTGCTTTTTTGTTTATATTTCATAGACAATAAAGAAAAACCACCAATTTGACATCATATCATTCTGCTTTTATTTATTGTCTGGATAACTTACAAAGATGTAGATGTCTAGGGTAGATTCTACTTTACCATTTCAACTATCCTGATGACACAGAGACCACAATGTGTCTGTTTACACAGTGCAATGGTATGAAAAAATACTTTCATACCAAAAGTTTTGGACACTTTAACAACATCCCATTTCTGCTACTAAAATAACAAAATTGGCATTACAATTAAAATATAAAGGCCTAATAGTTTTTACAAATATGCAAATAATCTGTTACTTAGACATAAAAAGTTGGTTTTTTTTCAAATCACAAAGTAAGGCACCATTGGATTAACCATTTTTACTGAATTAAAATGCATAGTGAAATAAATACCATTGTATTTTAATACTGTAATACCTTTTAATATAAAATGATAGATGAATGTTGAAATACTGTATTGTGTTTTGAATACATTTATCTGGAAATTTTATGGAAAAAGCATACATATAAGCTCTGATTTCAAGGAAGAAAATACTCATTCTTGTTATTTGCCATAGTTGAAGATTTTAGCATAGAACTCATTTAAGGTTTTGGATGTAAGTAGGTTGTTAACTTTCAAAGAAAGGGTGTAAGTATACAAATGAAATAGTCCCTTAAAAATACATTCTGAAGCATCTTTATTCTGGATGAATGGCAAACTTTGAGCTGTGACCCTGTTTCAAACTTTAGAAAGGTACCTGCAGAGTTGAGATATACAAAGAACTGCCCAGTTCTCACAGCCCCTAATAAAATTAGGTTAGGCTTTTCTCTGCCATATCTGCTAGTCAGGCTAAATTCCATCTTTTGTGAAGTGAGTCATTAGGGCCTGTCATAGGGATATTCACATTGCTGACATCAGATCAAAGAATCCAAAGTAAAAGGACGCTGCTAAATGACCAAAATGTTGCAATTTTTAAAAAAGCTTTAAATTTTTTCCAAACTTGTTATAGCTTTTTATTTCTTGATTCTCTTTGGGTAAGAGCCCCAAGTGACTATATGAAAGGTAGATGAAGACAGACGAGAAGGGGGAAAACAAGTTCTCTAACGTACGAATCCCAGAGCTTTGGCAAGGAGAGTTAGAAAAATACGATATATTTAAATCAGTAACTTTATAATTTATTAGACATTCCATTTATTAGAACCCTAAGTTCTGCTTTTATATAAACAAAACAGTTATTTATTCTACAAATAGGAATGCATCCTTGAAATTTGTCTTTGGATTGATTTCTTGTTAGCATTTCCCAGTAATACACTGAAACCATGATACAAAGTTTAGGTAGACATACATATACATATGTGGTCATGTGCTTTTAAAAAATAAGTAATGATAATTTTTAAACATAACCATATAAAACATTAAAGTGGAAATATTTTTGCAACTCTACAGCTAGATTTAAAAGTCCCAGTAAAATTTTGTAAACAAAATCATATATAAAAAAGGCAAATCTGGCTCTTCCTTACGGTTCTTCACTAGAGCTTTACTTGCATAGATCCAAGACAAATGAGTCTCCTGAACAGATTCAAAATACATTTCCTCTAATTTCTTAATTAGCAAGATCCTAACTCACTCAACCCCAGAGTTAGGTTTTTAGAATTTTGCCCCTCATTTCAAATCTGCTCCCTTCTTCCATGATTCTGATTTGATCCCTTCCCTTACTGTTTTCCACACTACCTGGACTTCCTACTTCTCCCAGCAGGCCCTGAAGAGTCTGCTGGGGGGTGGGCAGGGGAAGAACAAAGACCATTTCAAATCTCCAAGGCAGGCCTTCAACTGACAACTGAGCATATGGCCAGCTGGTTCTGAGGGCAGAAGCCCCCACAGCTTCCAGTTTCTTTCCAATGGCTTTGTTCCACGTGACTGTAAACCATACCAGATCCTTTTCTGACCTGGGTACTGTGAAGCAACACTTGCACAGATATTGAGGGAAGAGAAACGACAAAGGACCAAAATCTAAGGTCAAGCTGTCTACCAAATAAGGTATTGGATCCTAACCTTACTTTTAGGAACCTCTTGAATTGCTAAAGATTCCTTGTTTTTTAAACAAGAGGTTTTGTACTAGCTTCTCTCTTCCAGAACCTGTGCTGCCCAATAGGGGAGCCACCAGGCACATGGGTCTCTAAGCACTTGAACTGGGACTAGTTTGAATGGAGATGTGCTCTAAGTATAGAATGCACAATGGATTTTGAAGGTTTAGTACCAAAAAAGAATGTAAACTATCTCATCAATAATTTTTATATGGATTATAGGTTGAAATGATATTTTGGATGTATAGGATTAAATAGAATATATTACAATTAATCTCACCTGTTTCTTGTTATCTTAAAAATGTGTCTACTAGTCATTTTAAAATTGTGTAAGGGATCACATTATATTTTTATTGTATAGCTCTGACCTGGAGCCAACCTCAGACTGCTAAAGACTGGACATCGTAGCCACAAAAGCTTCACGTGAGCCCTAGCTCAGCAACTTGCTTAGGTGGTCTGTGGTTCATGGAAACAGACAGGAGGCCAAGTGTGGGAAAAAGGCCTGGATGAAAACAGCTCTCAGGGACTTTAATAATTATAGCCTGTAGAAACTAAGCAGTGAATGTTCGAGTTTGTTTGGTTGAAAGCTGGGATATAATTCATCTCTGCCTACTTGCCACAAAAGCCTATCGATCCCAGCAGCCAACACTGGCGGGCTGTAGCTGAAGCAAGCAATAGCTCTGAGAATATATACAACATAAAAAGCTAGGCACATTTCTTTACTGGATCCCCCCCGCCCCAACACATAGACCTTCCATCATCACCCTCTCTTCCTCCATCCTGCCATAAATGAAGGGGACAAGGAAAGGAGAGGAGGGTGTGCAATTCTCGAACAGCAACAGAAGCAGCTCTGGAGCATGGCTAGAAAGGAGCAGACAAAGATCACCTCTGGACGGGAGGGAGAGGTGGGGCACCCCTTTCTCTTCGGCTGGATCCACCTTGAAAAAAACAGACAATATAATTTTGGTTAGAAAGCTTATGTCTTTACTGTGGAAACTTAGGTGGTTGCAAAGGTGCCTACTACCTCACCTGCTGTGACCAAGGCTGTAAGCTAATTGGCACACGTGGATGGGAAAAGAAGCATGGAATGACGAGAAGAAACACAACTATAAGTAATGCCCACCACCGGCCACTGAGTGCTTACACAGAGCGTTTGTAAAAACAAATGCTTTTCTTCTGATCACAGTGTTGATTACAGATTTAGAGAATACAGCTGAACAAAAACAACAAAAATTCACCCAGGCTTGCACTTCCCAGAGATAACTAATAACACTATGTGTAAATTTTTCAGTTAAATATGGTTCTCTTTTCCCCACCCCAGAAATAGGATGATACAGTTAGTATTATCAGTACTAACTTGCAAGTACATTATTAATGGCGTGCTGCATTCTAGTCACTATACTACTGCTTATCTAGGCAATCTCCTTTGTACGGTAAGGCATTAGGTGAGGTCAAATCTCATGGGCTATTTACATCTCCACAGTGATTAGTGACGCTGAGCATCTTTTTATGTGCTTAGCAGCCATCTGTATATCTTCTTAAGAAATGTCTATTCAAGTTTTCTTTTTTTTTTTTAAATTTTATTTATTTATTTTGGCAGTACTGGGGTTTGAATGAAGGGCCTCATGCTTGCTGGGCAGGAGCTCTACCACTTGAGCCACTCCTCCCAGCTGTCTATTCAAGTTTTCAATCCATTTTTAATTATATATTTTTAATTGTTGAATTGTAGGAACTCTTTATAGATTCTGACTATTAATCCCGTCTCAGATACATGATTTCCACGCCTGCCTAGCAAGTGTGAAGGCCTGAGTTCAAACCCTAGTACTACTAAAAAAAAAGAAATAAAATTTCCAAATATTTTTTCCCATTCTGTGGGTGGCCTTTTTATTCTGTCTATGTGCTTTTTTAAAAAGCTGTGCACATTGATACATTCATGGGCTATCACTGCACATTTACCCCACACATATTTTTTGAGAGCTAACAGGTATAAGGCATCGAAGTCAGGTGCTCAGATGCCATGGCCAGGTCTGCCAGAGGCTCATGTCAGTGACAGGTCTGCTTGGCTACTGCTCTTGAGACTCAGTGGGCGGGCGGGTGGGCACTGGTGGATTCCTCAGCAAGCATCCTGATAGAAACCCTGTGGACTCAGAGACTTCTGAGACACAGCCAAATCTCTGACAAGGACAGGAGTTTAGAGGAAAACATGGCATTCCACTCTTTTGTCCCTTTCTTTTACCATCCCAACCAAATCTATTCTTGAACACGAGTAAAGACTTTTCTGGATGTAAACCAGACATCTGTCATGGAACTGAACTGTCACTGACACACCACAAGTGGCTACAGAAGGATAGCTGGCCTTCAACAGTGCAGTGGGGTGGCACCCAAAGTGTGCTGTACACTGCTCAAGGCTCTTGGGGTGTCCTACCAGGCAGACTTGGAGGCTGAGGCAGCTGTCAGAGCAGAAATAAAACTGGTACTTGATAGCACCTTTTTTTTTTCTACATTGGGGTTTGAATTCAGGGCTTAATCCGTGAGCCACATTCCCACTCCACCAGTCCTTTTTTGTGATTTTTTTTTTCGAGAAAGGGTCTCACGAACTATTTCCCTGGGCTGGCTTTGAACGCCAATCCTCCTGATCTCTGCCTCCTGAGTAGCTAGGATTACAGGCATGAGCCACAGGCACTAGCTCACCTTACTTTTTTTTGTTACATGATGTGTTATCACTATAATACATTAAACATGACCAAATGCTAAAAATATTTAAAGCAAATCTTCAAAAAATAAATTTCAGGTGCAGTAGAAATCTACCAATTAAAAAATATTTTTAAAATGCCTACTCTAATTCAGACTTTGTGACACTGAAGGAAGATGCAGTAGGGGGCAGGGCACTGTTTTAGCCCTAGATTGCTAACTCAAATCTTTTTTTCTGGTGGACTTTGAACTTAGGGACTAGGGCTTGCTAGGCAGGTGCTCTACCACTTGAGCCATGTCCACACCCCTTTTTGCTTTAGCTATTTTTCAAATATGGTCTGGCATTTTTGTCCAGGCTGGTCTGGACCATGATCCTCCTATTTATGTTTCCTGTGTAGCTGGGATGACACTGTCATGCCCAGCTTTAATTGGTTCAGATGGGCTATCTCCAACTTTTTGCACAGGATGTCCTTGATCCACTATCCTGATTTCTGCCTCCCAAGTAGCTAGGATTATAGGCCACCAGCATGGCTGGCTGCTTACTCAAATCTTGAAAGGGGGATGAGGAGAGAATGTGGTTAGCTATAAATTTAAATATCTAGGGGGTATGGGGAAGAAGGTTCAGTTATTGTTTTAAAAAATACAAGTAACATTCAAATTATATTAAGTATACTTATAAGCAAGTCAGGGAAAATATTAGAGTTTACATGAACAACTCCTTAAGATGAATCTATTTTAGTGCCCAAGAGTGAAGAAAAATAGGCTGTACTCATTAGATGGAGGCCCCTTCTGATGAAAACACAATCAAATCACACACACAAAAACACTTCACTTCCACGTGAAGACTTCTTTTTCAAAAGAATTTTAGTTGCCACTTTTACATGATAATTTTACTATACTTACACTTTTTTATCAGGCATTGTCTAGGAATGCAGTATCTTACCTAAATTGATTTTTCTAGGAACTGGTAGTTTTTCTTCCAAGTAGCAATGTTGGTTACTTTTAGCTCGGAAATTTTCCTAAAACATTTTCTAACTCTTTGAACTGTTGACAGAGGCACAAAGTGAAATCTAACTCACTTAATTTATCCTAATAGAAATGTCTCCAATAGAAAGTGCTTGTATTGTCCTGTGCAGGAACACTGAGCCCAACTCTGCCCAGCATCGCCTCTGACCTCAGCTTGCACCCGTCAGTTCTCCCCAGTGTCAGTGACTTGCTTCTAACTGGCCTTCACTTCAGCTGACATTAACCTCTGGGGTTGCAGACCAACCAACCAAAAGTTACTTAAGAACTGCATGTTTAGAGAAATCAGTAGGTTCTGAGTATGTGTAAGGTGCTTTGCTAGGGAGTAAGGTCATGGCTAGGGACATTGTGACCATTATTTGACTTGCTCAGTTTGGCTCTGAGGCTAAGCCTGAGCTTCTGAGGCAAGCCTGAACCTCCTCAGTAATATTTGTTTATTTAATGCTAATACTTTCTTAGTGTTGTGCATTTATTGTTGTGAAATTCTAGTGTATCTTTTTTTCCCCTTCTTGTTCACACTTCTTCTTCACCAGGGGAAAATTATCTACTTCTTTATGACAGCATTACATATATTAGCAAGCACAGAAGCAGTTCAAATGTGCAATGATAAATTAGTGTATGCTCACTTGATGGACTCCTATGAAATACAAACCATGTGATAAAGTGAGGAGGTGTTTACTAAGCAATGTTATGTAAAACCTACTATCAAAAAACTGTACACTGTCACTATAACTATATAAAAAAATCAGAATTATATGAATAAGAGTGGGAAGAGAATCTGGTAAAAGGAAAATATTTATTCCTTAGAGAGATTATGACATACTTAACACTATCATATAATGCACACAAAGCTATGGCTATAATACATTTATAAGATCAAGGAAGTTAGTGTGAGCTTTTGTTATAATTAAGACATTTTTTGCCAGCTGCAAACTTGTATGAATGGAAGATGACTCTACTTGTATTTGATCTCAGGAAGACCAAATGAGGGAAGACTGTCCAAAGAAGCAAAATAACAGGATTTACTCCTGCAAACCAAAGGTCTTTTGAGCTTGTAATGACACCTTAAGATAATCACTTCTCATAGACATTTCAAATATCTCAGTCTCCTTACTGCACTCCAGGCAAGAGGCCTGGGTTTCCTATACAACCCAAGTAATCCAGGCTATTCAAGCATGAATCTGCCAAAAGCTCTGGCAGAAATACTCACTCCGGCTTTCAGTTCTTGCCAATTTGCTGGGATAACTTTTGGTGGTTGGTACATATGGCTCTGGAGGTGGCAAATCAGAAATCGGATGGAAGTAGAATCTGCTTTCCCACTCATCTGAGGGAGAAACAAACAGTATCTTCAGACAGACAATCTGCTATGAAGACTTACATAAGGAAGAACACAGAAGGTAGTAGAAAGAGAACTGTAGAAATCACTTCTAGTTTCATACCTAGAAGTTTACAGAAAAGCTGCTAGTGCTACAAATGTCACTGGTTAACACATGGATAAAATGTACTGGTCTGCAAATCAAAGCACAGTGAATAGAACTAGAGTGGTTGGGATCCAGCCAGATCTTCTGAGGAGCTGGGGGCTCAGTTATGGGACACCTCTCTTCCCACCAGTGAGCCCAGGAATAACTAGGACCACAATGATCATGTGGCAGAGGGGAGTAGCTTGATTCTGCAGGCCATTGGGCTGATAGCCAACTGTTTAGATATGGTGAAAATATGAAGGTAAGCTGCAAAAATGGTTCTTTTCAGAATTTGGGAATTTAGGGAAAGTTAACCAAAATGAGACTTGAACAAGGGACAAGTTAGAGAAAAATGACCTGCCTTTTTAAGAAGAGGGAGAGAGGGATTCCTATTATTAATAAGAAGTCATAGTGGGCCCCCACATGGCTGGATAGATCAGTGCAGTACAGTGTAGTAATAATGAACAAGAAATGTGGACTCAGGCAAACATTACAAACCTTCACAGGATGAGTCCTGGAAGCCGTTTCTAATTGATGTCGATGGCGGAGGTGGGGGAGGTGCCCCAGCACCAGGTCTGTCAGGAGGAAGAGGGGGCCTGGGCCCCCCCCTGGAATTATCTACTCCACTCCTGGATGGCAACTGAGGGGTGGCAGGCAGGGCCCGAGACGTGCTGCCATTTCTGCTTATTGGAGGCGGTGGTGGGAGGGGACCTGGAACAAAACAGAAGACATTGAGTGCAACACTACCTTACATCCCTGTTGCTGTTGTGATTATCATCAGTATGCAACTAAGAGTGCCTGCTGGATACATGCCTTCTAACTAGAAACATAGAGAATGGTGGTGACTTTACAGGGCATGAGAAATGAGTAGCACATATAAACACAAAAGTGCCCGTGTGCTCCCACGTGTAGCTAAAGCAAGTGCTAAGTGGCTGTTTGGCTGAGTTTGCTCTGAGGCTGGAGATGAAACGATGAAATTGAAAACGGGTGATAATCTGTTTATATTGACAAGTGTATAATTTAAAAAACATTTTAAAGAGCTATTGAACTAATTACTGTACCATCATGAAAGAACTGAAAAAAGAATAAGATAGTTATGAAGTTATTTTAGGTTTTCAGAAGAACTAAGTTCTTCAACAGCACAGTACTATTGCTAATCACACAAAAATGTTTCTGTGATGTATCTGATGTTTCCAGACAGCAGTGGCATGAGGAAACTAAATACCAGTCATCCTGGGAGCAGCAGGATAGGTCTTCCTCCTGGGGGAGGTGGATGAGCACAGGGAGTGATGAACTGCTAATCAATAACCCTGGCTATAGATGTCCAAAACCCTTGGAACTTGACTTCCTATCTGTAGAATGCCAGGTAGTTGTTGCCTTTTTCACAGCATTGTAATTATTAATTAGTCAAAACGCAAATTAAAAGTACCATCTAAGAATCTGAAACCCATTTAATGCAATGGTTTTTAAGTTCCCACCCCCTCTTTTTTGTGGTACTGAAATTTGAACTTATGGCCTTGAACTTGCCAAGCAGGCACTCTACCAGTCCAAATTCTTCTTCCTGATAACAGAAAAGAAATCCATTTTGTTTTTCCCTTCCCTCAAATGCAGAGGCTATTGGGTAGTGAGTAAATTAAAGAAACAAAACCAACCTTGAACATTTTCCCATGTAAACCAAAGTGACTTTCCTGATCTTTAGTAGTGTGGGAAACGCTGTTAGATGTTGACATTTTATGTAGATCCAGTGTCTTATGGAATGATAAACATAACTATTTCATTACTTGTAGGTTCAGAATCTAACTGGGGACCCTAAATGGAACAAGGTGCTCACCCACTGCAGATATCCCTGACAGTGGATGTGGATGGGAGGTGCTGCCCAGCACTGGCTGGTGTCTCACCTTGTAGTACTCGGTGCCCCCTCTGTTTGGCATTGCTACAGCATCAGGCAGCAAGCACTGACTTTCTGCTATGGTTTAGCTTCACTCGTAATACCACCACTTGACTGTCACCAAATGCAAACTACATTTCCAAACATTATGGGGCCTGATATGATGATGCCACTTGATCAATTTCATATCATTTTTATTTTTTAGGTAAATGTTCATGTTCCTAACTCTCCAACCTATGGATCCCTGCTCCAAACCCAGGCTGACACAATAGAAAATGGGTTTCTATTTCCCACTGGCAGAGTAACAAAAATGGTCATTTATTCAATAATATGAACACATGCCAGAAAATAAGAGACCCCTATACACTCTTGTCTCCTCTAATTCTTTCAACTCTGAGAAGCACAGGCCAGAAGACAGGCCCTCAGAGGCGTTAGGAGCTTAAAAAGCCCAAATTAGATGGCTAAAGAGTGGGAGAGCTAGGATTTAACTTCAAATCATCAAATTCTATAGCCTGTTCCTCTAACAATGAAGGCAAATTACATTTCAAAATATAGATGGCCTCTCATATGCTCCTTGTGGTAATATAAACTGGTAGGAATTTTCTGGAATGCAATTTGTCAGTTCTTATGAAATCCTTAGTATGGTATGCACAAACATTGCTCCAGAAATTCCATCTCACGAATTCAACCAAAGCAAATTACACAGGAATGCACATAAATATTTAGGTTCCAGGATGCATCACTGCATTATCTGTGACAGCCAAGATCTAGCGATGGTGGTACATGCCTTGAATCCTTGTACCCAGCAGGCTGAGTCAGGAGGATCATGAGTGCAAGGTCAGCTGTGCTATATAGTGAGACCCTGTTTGCAAAACCAAAACCAAACCAAACCCTCCCCCCTACACCAAAAAAAAAAAAAATCTAGAAATGGCCCATGTGTCCAAGGGAGGAGACTAGACAAATAAATGAAGGTATACTTGTAGGACCGAATATTGTGCAGCTATAAAAGTTTGTAGAATAGTTCATCATATCATCATGTCAATGAGATCTTTTAAAACAAAAGGCAAATTACCACACAATAGTTTCCAATGCCAATGATGAAAAAAATTATATATATGCATCTTAAGAAGATTGGAAAGGGATATAAAAATGTGAATCACTATTTCTGGATAGTGGTGGAGGTGGGATTATAGATAGTTTCTATTTCCTATATACTTTTCTCTATTTCTAAATTAAACAGTGTAACTTTTATGGCATCCAAAGAAACAATACATGTTATATGTTATGCCTACCATATTTGGGGGGAGCCTTTACTTGTTTATTCATCCATTTGGTAGAGCCAATGCAATACAGTCCTCAATCACTTTGCAGGAAAATCCATAGATGTTGGATGAGAAGAAAAACATTGTATTTCATTCCTCTGACACCTGACTGACCTCATTTGTCAGCTGCAGAAACCCCAATGAGATGCTGATGTCTAGGGATTAGATCTAATGTACTAGTAACTTTCTTATATTTGTAGTCAACTCTCCATGGCAGAGTGTTTTTCACACTGCTGCGTTTACTGTACCTTCCTCCACATTCCCCTTCAACATCACTGGGGAACTTGCGCTCTGCTTCGCAGACCCATACAGCCGAAAGCTTTGAAGGGAGCAAGGTTCCTGTGGGTTTTTAATGCCTCCCAGGTGACCCTAACGTGATCGTTGAAGACTACTGGTTTAAAGACTGGTTTCTATTAGGTTCCTAAGGTCACAGGGTCAAAGGTCAGTTAACTTTGAAAGAAAAAAAATGTCCCAATTCCAGACATGATGAAGTATATATGATATTAAAATTTAAAAGTAGGGGCTGGAGGTGTGGCTCAGCAGTAGAGTGTTTACCTAGCATGAGTGAGGCCCTGGGTTTGATTCCCGGCACCAAAAAGACATTTTTTTTCTTGAAGTAGATACTTCTGGGTATCAAATCCACTGTAAATCAAGTGCTTGTAGTTTACTAAAAATGCTTATTATAATTAGGAGAAAGAGGGCAAATTCTATGGACTTTCTTCTCTTAGGTCAAGTTTTTCAACTGGTCTGGAGGCAGGACTTTCAATTCATGAAGTAGCATTTTATTTTTGTTTTGTTTTGCAGAACTAGGGATCAAATCCAGGGTCTCATGCATGCTAGGCAAGCACTCTATCACTTAGTCCAAATGCAAATTTTGAATTTATGATGCTGAGCATTTTTATGGAGAGAAGTTTATACCTTTGTTTGACTCTCCAAGGGCTTTATGCACCAGAAGTGTTAATGAAGGATATACTGGACTTTTAACCTTTGTCTTTAATGAGTAGGGAAGTGACCTCAAAGCCTGGCAAATGAAGTCCATTAACTCCGACATAACTTCCCCTGCTCCAGGAGATGAGAACTTACACAAATGCAAACAGCTGAGCTTTGCTGTAGGCAGGCAGGGTGACAGAGCTGCCTGTACCCACAGATGGAAGCTCCAGCTTCTTCCTTATTAATTTACTTGTAACCACTTACTTGTTGGTTACTCAGTCTCCTCACTTCTAAAACACAAACTGAAGTACTGGTCCCCTTCCTCAGAAGGTTTACATGAGGCCATGATGGCAAACAAGTCAGTGCTACTTAGAAGCATGAAGGAGTCTGAGAGTTTACTTGTTTTTGTTTGACTTATTTACCTATGCAATATTGGTGACATCTGGGCCAGCTGGGTTTTAGTGAGATGACTCACCCATGTCTTGCATACCTGATCTGCCTGGTGGGTCCCTCACTGGAGGAGGGGGCCTCTCATTGGGCAGGGGAGGAAGAGGGCCCGAGCGTCCTGGTGAAGGCAAGGGAGGTGCAGACGTAGTGAGAGACACATTCCGCTGTGGCAGCCTGGGGATCTCATCACTGCCGCTGGAACCTGGAGGCAGGGGTGGGGGACCCGGCCTGCTGGGTGGTGGTGGAGGTGGTGGGGCCTGCGACGAGGAGATAGGCCGCGGGGTAGAAGGCACTGGAGGCTTGTTATTCTGTGGGGGGGGAGTTGGAACCACTTCCCTGTGGATGGGGGGTCTGTTGCCCACTGGAGGAGGAGGTGGAGGGGGTTTGTCATCCAAGGCCCTACCTGGGGTGGGGGGCAGGGGAGGCCTGTTGGAGAACGGGGAGGAGGAGCCCAAAGGGGACTGGCGGATGGAGCCTCCTCCAAAAGCAGCACCTCGGCTTCCAGGGAAAGGGGGAGGAGTGGGCCCCAGGCTGGGCTGCCTGGGGGTTCCCGGTGTTGGTAGGGATCCCCGGTTGTGTGGACTTGACTGGATGGGTCTTGGTGTATTTGGTACTGGAGGGGGAAGGTTATCAGGCTTTGAGCCCACATCGGGCCTTGGGGGAGGCATGCGATTCCTGGGCGGCTCTGGGGGGCCACTCCTGTGGCCTGGGGAAGGCACAGGAAATCTCCCTGGGCCACTTGGGGGTGAAAAGGGCTTGGCAGATGTGGATCTTCCCCCTGGTGGCAAAATTGGTGCTCGGCTTCCTCCAGAATCTAAACAGGGAAACATACCCAGTTAGAAAGAGTTAGGAACCCTAAGGAAATCAGAGAGCTGGGGTCTATTCCCAGCTGCTGGAATTGCTTCCCACAGTGCAACAAATTACAGGTAAATAAATATATATGTATACATACATAAATAACAGTATTTATCTAAAGTGGGTTTTACGTGGTCATTCCTGGAAGCAGAAGAGTAGATCCAGCATTCTGTTTATCTTCTAACCCCAGCTTTCAAAAGATTCTAGAGAGATCACTTAGCATTACCTATGGATAAGAGCCAGGATGAAACTGGAAGGCATTTTGGAGATTCCCTGTTCATTATGAGAGGGCAAGAACAAGATGGCATAGGTGGTGGGATTTCTGCTAATGACTGCATTCATTGGTACTGTCATCTTTGTCCCTTGGTCTCTGTACCTCTCAGGTTTGAAAAATAATCCAGCCATTGTAGGTTAAAAAAAATGAAAAAAAAATATATACATATATATATATATATGTATAAATGTCTGCATCTATATCTATCCAGATAAGTGTGTGTGTATTTGTTTCCGTGCTGGGGATTGAACCCAGGGCCTTACACATAGGAGGCAAGGACTCTGCCATTGAGCAACCCTGCCCCCAGCCCCTAGAAATCCCAATATAAATCTCCATATGCAAGGGCTTACCTAGTCCTTTTAAAAAGAAATGCCCAAGAAATGGGAGAAAAGTTTAATGGAAGAGTTATGGCTAGATTCAAAAAGAACTAAGAAAGGAAAAAAACTGATAGACAAAGATTAATTGTAAGAATTGATCAGAGGAAGGAATTTATTTGTCAAAGAAATAAGCAACCACACAACTCTTTTTTGTCCTACTAAGTCAGCTTCCATTTCAATACTGACACAATAGAATGATCCTAGAGCAATACTGGCTCAACCAATTAACCAATTTGCTTCCAATTTGGCTGAACCAATAAAAGCCAAAGTCTAGGGAGAAGCTTGAAGGGGGAAACAAAGATATGGAAAGTTTAAACACCCTGCCCTTTAAGTTCTCAAAACCCAAAGTAATTCTTTTTTTTTTTTGCAGTACTGGAGTTTAAATTCAGGGCCTCACACTTGCCAGGTAGGCACTCTTACCACTTAAGCCACTCCAGCAACCCAAGGTAATTCCTGAAAATGGTTAGCCTTAAAATATCTACCTCTTCAGTAATGACCTAATTAATGTATCAAATATTTACTGAGCACATGCTATTTGCCAGCCATTATTCTAGATTCTAGAGACAGAGAAATAAGCAACATAGAAAAGATCCTGCTCTCCTGTAGTTTATATTCTTGTGGGGGACATAGACAGTAAGCCAGTAAATAAATATTTTCTGATAGTTGTAAGTACTAAAGACAAATAAAAGAAGCTGATACAGAGTGTCCAGGACAGGGTGCTAGGGACAGTCCTTCTGAGGAAGTGACATGTAAGCTGAGGACTGACAGAAAGTAGCTGCCTATGGGAGGATGGGAAAGAGAGAGGCTCTTTAGGCAGAGGGCCAGCAAATGCAAAGCCCTGGCATGGGGGAGATGATAGAAAATAGAGCTTGAGTGCAGCAGGGGTCCAGTCACAGCAAGCTGTGCAGGTCAGTTCCTATTTTATCCTAGGCACAATTATTCAGTAGAGTAATATAAACTTGAGAGAATTTTTTTATTTTGACTTTAGCACTAGAAAACAGCTGTATTTTCCTTGAGTAAGAGGTATAATTCTATGTCACCAACTTGCGGTATAATTTATCTTTCAAGCTCACATTAAAGTTGTAGTTACCATCTACCTTAACACAGCTAAAGGCTTTCTTTTACACCATTTGTGCACTAACTTAAATTCCACCTTCATTTCATTCATTATTTTATATTTCCCTTTTGTCTTCTGCCTTAATTTTGTCACTGACTATTAAAGTACTGAATGTCTGCATTTAGCAGCTGTCTCAAATCCTTTTGGTGAGTTTTAAGTAATTTATTTTTTATTTTTGTTCCATACTGGGAATTGAACCCATGGCCCCGTGCCTACCTACCTAGGCAGATATTCTACCACTTGAGCTATACTCCGGCCCTTAAGTAAATAAATCTAAATTTAAATACTAGTTTGGCAAGACAGGAACTCTCCTGTCTGCATTTTGGATACTAACAGTATGTCTCCTGACAAACAGTATGCTCTAAGTCTCCAGATTTTAACCACTCAGTGTGAACACAGTCAACTAATCACAAGCAATCAGTGACTATTTCTAGATGAATGTGAGAATTTCATACTTTTTTCCAGAGGACATTTTAAAAGACTAGAGTTAGAAATAAAATTCTTCTAATGTGATAAGCACTACCAAAAAATGTGTTATGGCTGCATTTCTTGAGCTTCTTTCGTGATCTGCAGAACTGACCAACCTGCAGTTCCAAAATACTTCTGCAGTTCCAAAATATTTCTGGCTTCAAGGATTTTGGCTAAGGGATATTCAACCTGTTCCTTGAACCACAGCTACTGAATACCCAATGTCTGCCATGCACAACACCTTTTCAGTTAGTGAAATGCACAACTGTCTTTCCTTAGACGGACTCCACAGTGGATCACAAGTATTTCCTATACTAGACAGATGGAGGGCAAAGAAAGCTGCCCTTGCAGGTCCCTGGCAGAGCTCTGGGGTAATAGGTTCCATGTGCTCCTTCCTTTCCTCTAGCTCACCTTTTACAAAAGTACAAAAGGGCCAGTTCCCTGCGCAAGTATTCCACGGCTCTATAGAGCTCCTGATCCTGACTGAAAATAGAATTCTTACAACACAGTGGCAACATTTCAAACCACCTAAACTGTTTCAAAGGGCCTCAGTGTGTCTGATGAGCCTCTTCCTCAGTTACTCAGAAGCAAACTCCATACCATTATCCCTGCTGGCTGTGGATCTCAGCTTCGGCATTCCAGCCTGGAACAGTCCTCCCAATCCAGGAGGTCCGCCCCCTCCAAAACTGCCACCGCCTCCTCCACTACTGCCCCCGCCGCCACTGCCACCACCAAAGCCACTACTGCTACCAGCGCCGGCTCCTTTTGGTTCTGCAGAAGGAAGAAAACACATGAAGGAAAACACTGGTGTATTTCATCAGTCCCAGCCCAAGGAAGCCGCAAAACATGTGAGCGGAGCTGGCTGAACCCCAGAGGCCACGGACACACTGGTCAGGACACAGGGGAATGTCTCTCTGCAGGGCTGGCCCAGGCCCAGAAGTGGAAGAAACAGTGAGAGGCGATGATTTGTCCCCACATCCCCACCTGCCTAGCTGCCATGTGTGTTAATATCTATTTGTTTTATAGCCTAAGATTTAACAAATAAAAGTGTCTTCAGGAAAGAGGGGCCCACCCCCAGGGAGGAGGGATGCAATAAAACATGAGAAACAGTGCAGGAATAAAGAGAAGAAAGCTGTTCATAACGTAACTCCTTGAAAATGTCCGTTATTGAGGTATCCTTTTTCCTGTCAGTGTTTTCCATTTTACGTTTTTTCTTAAAAATCAGAAAGAAATCATTAAGTGGTTTTTTAGCTGCTTTTATCACTTTATTGTTAGCATTTCCCATGTCATTAAATACGCTTTGAAAGAGTTTCAATTAAGGGTTGCATTGTATTTTCAAGCATGAATGTATCATGATTTATTTAACCCCCACTTCTTTTATGGCCTTTAAATTTGATTTTAATTTTTTAATACAAAGTCCAACAGTTGGCTTTAGCAATTTAAAAATTCATTGCAATTTGAGAAGGTGTAAAATTTTGTTTTATTTTGCATTTATTTGCAAAAATCAGAAAGATTTTGAAATGGGAAACCAAACCAAACCAAACCATAAAAGAACAGAGAGAGAGAGAGAGAGAGAGAGAGAGAGAGAGATACTGAATATCCTGTCTAGCTTGACTTCTGGGTCATTTCCCATTGCCTTTGAGCTATTTTATAACTCTGTACATTGTAAAAAACTGCTAGCAATACAAATTATATTTCCCAAAAATGGAAATTAGTTCAGTTAAATGCAATTGTTTCTTGACTAATTTTGCACCTAATTCTAGGTTCAATTCAGCCCTTATATGCCTTTTTATGTGTGGTACTGTATTTTCCTTTGAACTGATATCATTACTAATGAGTTAAATAAATATTGTGATATGTTCAGCTTATATCTGTGTGAGAACCACGTTTGTACCCTATTTAAAAAAAGTAACCTTTTAAATAATTTATGTACGTATGTTTTGTATTTATGACTTATGAGGTTAAATATTGTTTAAAATCCTACCCCCTAAAAGTCATTTTGAGTTTTTGATAAGTATTAACATAAGATCTACAAATTAGTCTGGGAGAACTGACACTTTCATGATATTTAAATTTCACATTTGGAAATGTGGTATATTTTCCTATTCATGTCTTCTGGATTTTTTGGGAGAGCTTTATAGATTTTTTTGGCAGTACTGAAGTTTGAACTCAGGGTCTTGTTTGCTAGGCAGACACTCTACCATTTGAGCTACACTTCCAGCCTCTTTTGCTTTGGTTATTTTTGCGCAGGCCAGCCTTCACCTAGACCATTCTGATCTCAGCCTCCCAAGTAGCTAGGATTATAGGTTTCTTGTTAGAGTTACTCTAAATATACTTTTGTTTGTTGAAACTTTTTGTAAAAGGGACATTTTTTCCTGTTATATTTGTAACTGGTTATTATTGGCATCCAGAAATTTCCCTTAATTTCTAATATGTGCTACATACGATCAGTTAAAATTTACAAAAAAAATTATGGTCTTGCATTTTTTGGTAGATCTATATAGTCTTTAAACAATAGTTTCCCTTCTCTTTTCCAAGAGTTGCATGTATTATCTTCTTTCTGTTTTATATAATCACTTGGGTGGATGTCCAGCCACCCAATGTAAATTATTAATGTAGCTAAAGGTCACCCTGCTCTGATTATAATGAGAATGTCGCTAATGTTTCAAAGTTAAATATTAAGTATGGGTTTGAAATAGGCTTTTTTTTTTCTTTTTAAATATTGCAGTCAGGAAGGATCCTTTTATTTTAGGATTTTAAGACAGCATAGAATTTTATCAAATGCTTACATGTGATCTACTAAAGATGATTTTTTTAATTTGAAAGGATTGATAAATTATTGATCTAGCATTAAAAATGGATAAATCTGGGTCTTGGTGAATTTTTCCTTTAACATTATTTAAAATTAGATTTTTAACTTGGTATTTTCTCATTTATGACCATAAGTAATCTACGATAGGGCTTCTTAGTTTTGGAGCTACTGCACTGACATTTGGTTTTGAACTGTTCTTTGATGGTGGTGGCTTCCATTCTTTATAGAATGTTTGCAGCATCTCTGGCCTTTACCCACTAAACCTCTTCCCTTACTGAAGTTGTGACAACTAAAAATATCTTCAGTTGTCTTCAGGAGCTGGGGGTACAACTCTGCTTGCCTAGCATGCCCTTGGCTCTTGTTCCATCCCCAGGACTGCAAAAGGAAAAAGAAAGAAAGAAAATGCTTGGAAAAATGTCTTCAGACCTTGCCACAAGTGCCCGGGGGAAAAATCACCCCAGAATGAAAACCACTAATATACAGCTATCTTTTTTGTGTCTGCTGCCTTTACCAGCATTTGGTATTAGGACTATGACATTTCCTTTCACCTATCAGATAGCTTGCCCTTTTTTCCTCTTAGAGAATGATTTATACAGCATGTGAACTAGCTGTTACTAATAAAATCATCTGGCTCAATAGCTTTTTGGAGAGAAAGTAATTTGATAAACTTATCATCTTTGTCCTTTCTCATTGAGGCTTTCTCAGTAAAAGTTGGTAAATTTATGCTGTCTTAGAAAATTAATTTCTTTAAGATTTTAAAATGATCTGGGTATAGTGATGTATGCCTATAATCCAGCACTCAGGAGGCAGAGGCAGGAGGTTCACTTGAGTCTAGGAGTTCAAGATCAGCCTGGGCAATGTAGGGAAATCCTGTTTTAAAAAAAACAAAAAGATCTTAAAATGTCTTAGTATATAACTTTATTACACCATCCTTAATTTTGCTTTCTGAGTTCTCATTTTATTCATTGGTATTTCTCTTTCTTTCCAGAGTAATCATAGTTTGTGTGAACTCTCTGACTTTTCTAGGTATGGTACCTTCTGGGATGCATGGGGTAGCTCTGCTGATGGAAGTAATTGATGAAATTACTTCACTCAAAAGGTGAATCAATTTAGAATAACAATTTCTAGAGTATATGTAAACTTTTTTTCCATATAAAGTTAAAAAATTTTACTAATTTTAGTTATTACCAATAACATTAACATTGCCCTTTCCATCCAAACATTGTTCATCAATGAATAATACATTCTGGAATCCTACACAGACATGGGACACATTTACACGGTACTGAAAATTAAAGGCAGTCTGCCATATTATCAGATGTCATCATTAGTGTTCTTATAGCACATAGAGAAGTGCTATGGTTTGGATATGGTTGGTGTATATCCCTCAAAGGTTCATAGGCTGACACTTGGTCCTCATTGTGGTGAGGCCTACTGAGAAGTAATTAGGTCATTGGGCATTGCCCTCAGCAGGAATTGATGTAGTTCTTGTGGGACTCTGGTTAGCAATTAGAGAAGGTTGTTATAAAAGCAAGATGGGCCCTTCCCCGCTGTCTGGCTTCTTGTCTAGCCAGGTGATCTCTCCCTCTTTTATGCTCTCCCACCATTATAATGCCATTTACCATTAAGTTTTCACCAGAGTTGAGTCAATGCCAGTTCCATGCCCTTGAATCTCCAAAACTGTAAGCTAAATGAACCTCCTCTTTATAAAGTATTCAGTGTCAAGTATTTCATTACAGTCACAGAAAATGGACTAATATAAAAACTAAAAATTGAGGTCATTTTGAGTAAACTCTAGGGCTGAGCTGAACTCAGGAGTTATCATGTGCAATCATGCTCAACAACCTTGTAGAGAACCCAGGGTGGCTTCACATGCGAGCAAACACAACCATGGATGAACTGTGCCACTTGCAAAGCACTAATGACAGCAGTGTAGGTCTCTAATTAATTGCAGGGACAACTGGGACATCCACTGGGTTGCATCTTGCTTCCATCAAGTGAAGCGTACTCTTAAGCATTGCTGAGCCACTAGAGGGGAGAGGGGCCAACACTGTTTCCAAATAACAGGAGAAGTGGACCTTGAAGGTACAGTGGATTCGAGAATAGGCCCAGACTGTCCAATTTCCTTCAACATTGGTGGGGAATTCCCACCTTCCTCCCCAGGGTCCTGAGCTCCTTTCATAGTGAAGAGAGGCACTGGCCTCTGTCCTAGAGTTCTGTAGCTTCTCTGGCCCCACACCAAGGACCACAACTCAGATGGCTATTTGGCTGGGGCTCCACAGATATAATTGACTGTGCTGGGCCCCCTCCAGGGATTGTTTCTTTTTTTGAGAGGTAATGCATGCTCATTGGTACCACCTTGCCTGATAACTACAGCAGAGTTCAAAGACCTTATCTTCATTTTCCTCTTTTCCATTTTCCTCCCACACCCAAGTTCTCATCTAACTGACCAATCAGTCCTTCTTTTCTCTTCTTTACAATTTAGGCACTTTCCCCAGCAATCCCCCAAGCACTTCTAATCTATTTTGTTAGAATCCTGCATCATTCTTCATTTTCCACAGACCTCCATTTGCTGAAGCTCCACTTTTGGAAGGTCAAGTCTACTCCCTGTTGAGTTGAAATGTGTTCTGTAGTCTTGGGTGAGTCCTGGTGATATCAGATGGGCAACTGAACGTGTAGGAATGTGAAAGGCTGTCTCAAGACTTTATTATTAATTATCACTAGATTCTAGTCACGGGTAATTTTTATTTTGTTGTAAATGCTAATAAGTAGTCTTGTGTTGTGAGTACTCATTTATTTATACATACCTTGCCTTGTTGACTCATATGGGGAGCCAGCAAAGCTGTGATCTCACTTCCCTCTCTCCAAGCTCCTAGTAATCATATCTTAGACTTGAGTCACACTTTCCAGGTGACAAAGCACCTTTATAGGCATTATCTCATTTGAAGCTCACAACAGACTTGTGAGGTCAGTAGAACAGGTATCATCTCCACTTTACAAATGAGGACAGGTAAGGCTTGGAGATGGTAAGTGATGGATGTGTCCTTTGACTGCAAGGTCAGAGCCCTTCCATGTTGCATGCTGCCTCCTGATCTGTGGTGCCAGGAGCAATGAGTTAATCTCCACAAAGTGTGAATAATTTAGAGAATTGCTGCGGTGTATGTCTTGGACAAAGAATTATTATACTGGCTTCCTTTGGCATTAGAGGTGAACCCAAGCCAAAGCTGTGACCTACAATGAGTGATACAGTTTCTTATTTTCATAGCTTTGCAGCTGTTGTTAATAATCCCACTCCCCCAATTTTTTTTGTGTGTGGAAGGTGGTAGGGTTTTTAGGCAATAAGCCACTTATCTTCATAGAAAAGAGTGTTTTTCACTTACTGTCCAATATCGGTGCACTTCTGTCATTGGTGACTGTCTTCTTAAGTTTCTTCCCTTTGTTGATGTCGGAGAGAAGAGCATTTCTCCCAGCCTGCTCTGTCTTATTCAAGGTAGGCTTCTCTGTATTGGCCTGAAAGGAAACCACACAAGCTCACATGACACTCTTGAATCAAAGTCACTTATTATTACACTCAGCTGGGTATCAGAAGCTTATTAGGATGTAAATTCTCCAAAAGTTTTTGACTACAAGTCATTCTTTTTAAGATCCAAACCTTGGGAACAGAGAAGCAATAAATTTCATTCGTTTTTAAGGCAGGAAGAGTTTGAAAATTCAGACTACAATCTGGCTGTAACCAGCAGAGCCCAGTTAGGGTAGAGGGCTCACACAAGATGGGAACTTTAAGTCTGAAAAGATTCTGAGGGCGCGCTTAGGCTTCCCTCTTTGGAAGATGACCTGAGGGATTCAATCACTGCCCTATCTCTAGAACCCACTTGACACAAGGGAAAAATGGTCTCTGATAAACAAAAGTGGGCTTAAAAACTCACTAAAGTTTTAGAAAACAATTTCCTCTGAATACATTGACAAAGATGCTTTTAAAAATCTTTTTAAGCTAAATTTACTAAGGTGTAATTTATACATAGTGGAATCATTCTTTCAGTTTACAGTTCTATGAGTTTTGACAAGCAGATACAGTCATGTGACCATCATAGTCAAGACATTGAACATTTTCATTACCCCCAAAAGTTCCTTTGTGTCCCTTTGGCCTGAGGTGTTTCTGGCGTTTAACCCCTTTCAAAGCTTAGCTCAGAGAAATTGCAGAGAGGACAAAGGTGCTGCCTAAAATATTTGTGAATATATATATATATATATATATATATATTTTTTTTTTTTTTTGATGGTACTGGGGATCGAAACCAGGGCTTTGTGCATGCTAGGCAAGCGCTCTACCACTTGATCTTTGCCCTCAGTCCTTTGTTTGCACTTAGTTTTTGACATAGGGTCTTTCCCCCAGCTGGCTTTGAACTCTCCATTCTCCTGTTTCTACCTCCTAAATTGCTGGGATTTCAGGTGTGCCCCACCACGCCTGACTTGGGTATTTTCTTAAATTCTCATTCTTAAATTCTCATTCCTTCATGGTTATTCTAGGAGTGAAGACAATAAGAGTCCAGCATGTGGACTTAGAAGTAGGCATCTGCCTGTGTCTGTCACATGTGGAAACTGATCTGACCTTGCCTGGGTCTATGAGATTATGTCTGTATGGTTGCCCTAAGGCCAAAGGTCCTTCCAGCTGAGCTGGCCCACCCTTCCCAAAGGGGCGTGACTTCAGATGAGCCATTAGGGTCACAAGAGGTAAAGCTGGAAAAGCATGTGGCTTGTCACCTCACCCAGCCTCTTATTATCAGAGTCAGAGGCAGAGGAGAATCAATAGAATTACTGTAGGTTAAGTTGCAAGCATCTTGAAATAGTTATAAAATATAACAATATGATAATAACAGCTAACATTTATATAGCTTTCACTCTGGCTCAGGCACTGTTTTCAACACTTTGGGTATTATTTCATTTAGTCCTCATGATTTACAGACAAGAAAAGTAAGGCACAGGGAGATTAAATCATATACCCGAGTCACCAGATAATAGAAGAAGGACTGAGATCAAACTCTGGTAGTCAGACTCCACAGCCTTCTCTGTAATCACACAGAAAGGTAAATGTGGGCTCTGATGTGCCCCTTCCCCAATAGCCCCAACTCTCCCCCAAAGTAGCCTGTTCAGAGGTCTGCAGCTATCCTTCCAGAAACATTCTTTGCAGATAGTTTGCTTTTGCTAGTGGAATTATTCTGTATTGCTCTGAACCTTGCTTTTTCAACTCCACAACATATCTTAGAAAGAGCTTTAAAAATTACTCACTGTCTTCATTTAAAAATGAAACATAAGTGCTAGAGAGGTGAAACTGATACATTCTCAATGGGTATTTTATAATTTTGAGTCAACAGTCTCCAGTGGCTTGTTGTTCTTCTTGAAAGCTTGTTTTGGCATGAGATCTCCTTAGATGCTAGTTTCTCTCATGTGGCAGGCTAGACCAGGTCCTTCACTGCATTATTTCACTAGAGCAGTGTCTCACGATGAGCACCATCTTTTCCCTTTCTCATTTCTATGTCCTGCTTCTCCAGGATCTTGCTTCGAGTTACATAATAATGGACAGAGATGAGTTGTTAGAATAAACAAGGCTTTCTCAAACTTTGATCATTCTGTACAATGTTCATGATTTCTATCTTCCCATGCCATCTGTGTTAAGTCAATTCACTGTATTACTTACCATATTAATTTTCATGAACATTTCTTTTAAATGAATTCACTGACTAGTAAACCCTAGGTTTAATGTTCTAGTTATGATGTTTTAGAACACATATTAAAATAAATACATGAATATTAAAAATTGTTTAATTAATCCATGCACTACAGGGCAGTGTCATACAGCTCACAGTTTGGGAGAAATATAGATAAACCAATGTTGCTATGCTAAGCAGGTAAGAGCTTCTCAAACTTACCAACACAAAATACCAGTTTTTAAAATTATTTTCCAATTCATCATGGACTAACATTTTTGAAAAATAACAATGAATTATTACAAAAATGAATTAGTTTAAAAAGATACAAAATATGATCTTAGAGAGAAACATCAAATTGTTATAAATAGTTCTAAATGGTTATTTTCAATTTTTGTCCTTATCTCAGTGGGGACTCAAACAAGCAGTAGGAGGACCCATGTTAAGTAGCATTGTGCTAGTTAATGGCCAATTAATGGCCAATTCTTCCAATCAGGTGCCTACCACAGATGAGTTTATATAAATGGAAACCTGAAGCAAGAGACTTTTTCTCCCCAAGCCTCAGTTTCCCCAGATGAAGGAAACTCCTATCAATGTGAGGCTCCTTAGTGGCGAAGGTTCATGTGTTGGGGAGGCCGTGGGAATGGAGTAAGTGTTGGAGTCTTTTCATTTCACCATGTGGCTTCTTCGAGGAGGGTGCACTAACTTTTCTGACAGGCCTATCAAAGGCCAGGATGAGTCAGTGAAGAAATTCCTTTGGGAAGTAAACATCTAAATGCAAGGACAGGTATAAAGGGAGATATGAGGGAGAGGTGACAAGGAGAGGATGATATTTGTCAAAAATAGTGCAATGAAAGAGGAGAGATAGCAGAGAGAAGAAAGGAGTCTAGAAGACACCTATTGGATGGATTGCACACAGAGACCGGGGTTTCCATATTGTCCCATACAGAAGTTAGAGGGTAGATGTTGAGCTCATTTGAGTGGAAACAAAGCATGCTGGCCTCCGAACTTTCCCCAAGCCCATCTTGGGCCATCTTGATTCCCTTGATGGACATGGCAGAGGAAACCTAATAGTGCACAATCAAGGCTTGTACTGTGCATTGCAGGATATAATTTTGAGTCAACAAGTCCTTTGTGTTGCTTGGATTCTCGAGGTCCCAGGTCTGGCCAACTCTGGGTCCCTGCAAAGCCTAATGCATCACATCAATGCCAGAATGTAAGCTCACTTAAATGCACAACCAAGTGCCAGATTTCAACTTCCTTTGGTTTGCTTTATGCATAAAATGTAAATGGAGAAAGCCAGGCATAGTGGCACACCTCCTTAATCCCTACACTGGGTAGGTGCAGGCAGGAAGATCACAAGTTCAGTGCCAGTGTGGGCCACATAGCAAGAGACCCTGTCTTGAGAAAAAACAAAAACCAAAACCCAAACCAAAAAACACTGTAGAGAGTGTCTACTCACCAGTGCAAATGTTGGCGGCGGTGGGGGCGCTGGTGGGGGAGGGACGGGCATCTTGGACGGTTATACTCTCAACAGTCTTGCTGATAAATCTATAAAGACAAAACACAGTCACATGTTAGACTGCTCAGAAACACTCGGTCCTAATCTTCCTGCTTTCAACAAAGTGACAGCTTCACACAGGTCAACTTGTAAAAAAGGATAGGTTATCTTTCTTTCCTTCACTGCTCACATCAGACTGTTCTGGAAGGATCCTAGATGGAGGTGGGCAACTGGGGCAGGCTTCTGAGTCAAGGGGTTTGAACACTTAAAGTCAAACCCAGTGATCACGTTGCTCAATTTTGCCCCATCACTGCAGGCCATAATGGAACAACCCTGTAGGCCTGTAGTTGCGTAAGCAGGAAGGCTTCCACAAGCCTACTAGAAATGGATCATAGTCACGTTGGATGAAAACAAACACTTCAAGTGGCTTCCTCTTACTCCTCCCCATGACAAAATCCTTTCTTTTTGTTCCACCTCTCAGCCCGCTGTGCTGGAATTAGTTTTTAGCACTTTAGTGAGACCTCTAGACAGTTGATAGGCTCTAAAATTTGAGAAATCCTGTTGTAGAGTTTGAGCCTTAAACCAGTTGGCATGCCTGAGACACTGGCCACCCAAGTGACATAATTTTGATGCAACACATCCCAAATTTCAAACAGAATTATTTTTTGTTTATTCTCAATAGTCTCCTAATTGCAGAAAACAATGTCTTGGAGCTTAACATCTTAATTTAGTTCAGCCACTAAAAGCCAATATGGACAATGTACACCTTGAAATAAACAGGGCCTATTAAAAGTGATGGATGGTTTGCTTTCTGTGAACAGAAATGGAAGGGAAAGGCTAAAAAACATCACTGAATTTGTCGCAGCTGCTGGGAAATAGGAATGAAGACAGTTGGGAACAATTCCATTTGAAGCAGGCTGTCTAGAAATGGAATTTACAGACATTCCAGAACAAGAAGGGCAGCTAATGCTGAGAATCCACTGGATCCTGGTGTTTTACCAGCATCCTCACTAATGCCTGCAACCACACTGCAAGCCAGCACAGCTGTGCTCATCTTAAAGCCGAGGACTCAGAGAAACTGAGTCACTCACTAAAAAGCCCTATGCCAATCACTTGAATCACGTCTTTTTGTTTTCTGCTCTTCCACTGAGCTACACTGCCTTTCTCTTTACCCTGCTACGAATTTTCAGGGATGTTAACCAGTTTTACAGTTCACCTGTTAACTAGGCCATAATCTTTTTAAATAAAAGGCTGACTCAGACCTGATTCTTTCCAAATGTGTTCCTTAAATCGGTCTTTTCTGCATAACACCTATCCTTCCTCCATGAGGTCAATTTGGTAGTTAGCTGAGTTAGGAACTCCCCCATAAAGGGGCTCTCCAACTGCAGAAGGTAACTTCAGAGACCTTGACATTTCCTACAACCAGGAGGAACGGCAGGAATCTAAAGCTGAATTCAGATGTAACAGTGAAAGATGCTGGAGCCAAATCAGTGGTGTTAACAGAACCAGGGAAGGCAACTTATCAAGGCAGATATAGCCTGATCTGCCAGAAGGGCCTAAGATACAGGCTCCATGGCACAGTTCACCTTTGTCTTTTTGGTGGCTCTGATGTCCCTCAAGACTGATTTATCTAATTCCTTGTTCACTAACTATTTGCCATCTGGTTGTCTTAATACCTAGGAAGGAGTAGATTCTGGTCAATTAATAGGAATCCCCTATGGGCTTGGTTGTCATGAGTCAGTCTCTGGTTGTACAGATCAAATTGAATGTCTTCTGTCTTGCACAGCTCAGAAGCCACCTTGTGGAATGGTGACCATTTCAGGAACTGCTATCCTAAAGGCCTCCTTAATTATCCTACAGTTTTCTGCTGTTGCTATTTTAGTACTGTCTGCACTAACTGACTTGTAAATAAACTTCTGGACTTCAGGGAGGACTGGTGACTTTGTGGTCTATAAGGCCAGTGTGGGAGAAACAGCAATAGTTTTGGCGAGGGCCAGGGCCAGAAACAAGCAGGCAAAACCAAGGCTCAGGGGGCCAGAAGCTTGCAAAGACTTCAGGACTTACAAGAAGCAGGGCCTTCCCCTATGGCCACCTTAGATCAATGGGGCAGAGGAAGCGGTGAGTGCTCTCATTTTCTGAGTGATGTGCAACCAAGTACCCTTGTTCTCCACTTTTGAGGAGTTGCTGCTGCTTTCCCTGCCCCATCTCTCACTGCTCTCAGATGAACCATTCCACGCCTACCACAATGCAAAAGCCTGCCAAGTTCAGCTCCTTACTCCTTCCTAACAGAACAGCTGCTGGGCACAGACTAGATTTCTCCAGGCTGGGCCTTCAGGGATTTTTTTTGTAAGAAACCCCAGACTCTAATCCTATCACCTTACTCACCACATGGATCAAAGAAGACCAGTCTTATGTTTTTGTTTTCATGCTGGGCTGCCATCAGGCCCACTTACTGGCTGTCTTCTCACCAGACCATGGACTCCACCAGGTCTAGGTCTCCCTAATACGTGGTATGAAGTAAGGTTCTCACTAAACATGTGTGGAGTGAGAAACAGACAGTGTTTGACACTGGAATGGCTCCTAGCCTCACCCCTGGTGCACTGTGAGGTTTGGGTAAAAAATCAGTGCTACTTCCGAGGGGCTTGCTAGCATTAAGTACTGGGACTTGCTTTCCTGGAAGTCCCCAACTTCCCCAGGGAAATAAAAGTCCAAGGTCTGGAGACAATAGTGGCTTCCAGCCTCCCACCAAGTTACAGCCCCACATCAGAGTCAGAGGTGGGCCTTCCTGAAGGTTCTTGGTACCAGGGCACAGACCTCAACAAATCAGGCATTCCTACCTGGACATTCACACCCTCAGGGTGTACAGAAAGAATCAGGGGCTCCCAAACTTGGATGGAAGGATGCATTTCCTTCAATTACAAATGTAGGCCATCAGTCAAGTACCTGAGACTCCTGCACCAATAGTTTTCACGTGGCGCTTACACATTATGTACAATTGGTGCATGTTTCCTTTAAATTCAGGAAACATTTAGATCTATTGTTAGACCTTGTTGTTTAAACCCTTAATAAGGAAGTGTACATTTCAGTATAATTAACTTCCTTGTAATCCTTGGTGTTTTATTTTATGCACTTAAAAACAGTCACAGACAGGGCTGGCAGAGTGGCTCAACTGGTACGCACCAGTCCCTGAGTTCAAGCACCAATATCACCAAAAACAGTCACAGAAGGAGTCCTCGGGTTTTACCACACACCAGTGAGGTCTTGGGAAGGAAAAAAGTGAGAACACAAGACCTGGGTCAGGCGGATTTGGGTCTGAATGCTTGCTCTGCCAACCTGACAGCGTGCGACAAGAATGTAACCTCTCTGAGCCTCCCTTTCCCATCTGCTAAGTGGTGCATTGCTGGGAAGATTAACGTGAAATGCAGAGTCAAGCTTCAGCGTCAGTTGGGAGAGTTAGGCATAAGGTACGAGGGACAGGTCTAGGATCTGTCCTTGAGGGTGAGGTGCGTAAGCTGCTGAGCACCTGGCACAGGAGGTATGGCCCTGAGGCTGAGCGCTGGGGTCCTGGCCTTGGCTTGTGCAGCTGTGGGCAGAGCCGCACAGAGTGGGAAGGAGGCAGCCTGTCCCTGGTCCTCAAGCATTTGAGTCTTCTCTTAGGAGTGGAGCATGGCAGGGAAGGCAGCTCTGTCTCAGGACTAGAAGGGGCCCTTGAACAAGGCACAGGCCTAGGGCAGCAGAACACAAAGGGCTCTGCCACCTCCTGCATCAGAATGGGCTGTGCACAGTGGGAAGATCACAGACTGACCTATTTGCAGAAACTTCCCCTCCCTCCTCTAAACTTTCAGAAACACAGGTTGAGAATTAATAACTTTTTAAGAATCACTTCAATGTTTAAATAATATTCATCATATGGGAAAAAGTCACACTTTCTCAAATGTTCCCCCTGGTGTGCTGGGTTTTATAAGTGCAAAGAAAACTCCAGGGATAGAAAAGGTTTTAGTTTTCACAGTGTTAGGGACTGAATTGTAGCATATAAGAAGTGACTGTGTTTGGAGATGTGGCCTTAAAGAGGTGATTAAGTTAAACAAGTGAGACTATTAGTGTGGAGTCTAAGGCACTAGGGATGTGCCAGGCGAAGGAGGGATTGTGAACACAGTAAGTAGGTGGCTACACACAAGACATGGAGAGGCTTCCCAGGAAATCTACTTCATAGACTCCTTGATCTTGGATCTCTAGCCTCCAGAATGGTGAGCAATAAACTGTTACTTGAGCCACCCAGTGTATGGGATGTTGTTAGGGCAGCCCTAAGCAATTAACACACACAATTTAACAATATACATTTGCTTACTACTCATGGTATAAATAGGATACTGTTTTGAATAAAATATTAACTGACTTTTCACTCAAGAACTGACAAAAACCAAAACAGCCTGAACCCTAGATGTGAGTGATTGTCAAGGCTTTATTTAATAACTAAGTGAATCATCCCCAAATCATCAAGTTACAGACGGGAACAGTTGAGGGGAGGGGAAGGATTTGCCAATAAGCCTTTCATAAAGGAGTTAGTTGGCTCTATGAGTTGAAAGAACCGAGCCAAATATTTTGTATAAAAAACTTAAAAACTTCATCCTTTGTTGTATGTGTACATAAGCACACACACAGTATACATTAGTATTTCAAAATTTTAGAATGTCTTAGTTCTGTTGCCAACAAAACTAATGGTGGCACCATTGTTTTTTCTATAATGCTGTTAGCAAGTTGGAGGCAAGTCAGTCCAGTCCATAGCATGAGATGCTAGCTGAAAAACAAACTAAAAAGAAAACCACCAGGGACATGGCGCAAGTGGTATTTACCTAGCAAGCTTGAGACCCTGAGTTCAACCCCAAATACCATATAAAAATTTTTTAAAAGCTTTAGGAACATTATGGTGATTTTTTTGTTTGGTTGGT